TGCCTATCGGACCTTGAAAAGCTGGCATCACTGAATCAAGTGAATAAATTATGTTGAATTAATTAAACTATATAATTTTAATTGGATTTATTCAAGTAAACATGCATTTATTCAAATAAATGTGCAATTAATTGTTACTGTTTTGAATCCTATTGTGTTCTAATCTTCTGGATGATGTTATTTATGGGATAGGGGGCACTAGAGATAAGTTTATGGAACCAAGGAGGCAGTGGCCCAAAACATTTTGGGACCCACTGACCAGGCTCAAAGGTGCTAGGTGGAAAGATGGAGCAATGGTTTGTTCAGTTATCAAAGATATCTCCGCAACATTTTATTCCAAAATTCATCTACCTTGGGGCAACCACCATAAGTGTTTTTACAGGAATAGAGAAGCTTTACCCAGCCAAATGTTGTTGGACTACAAGTCCCATGAACTCTTGCCAGTATGGGTCAGTTGTCAGGGATGATGGGAGTCCAACAACATTCAGAGGGCTTCACTGGCTACACCTGTCCTAGAGGGTGGTTTTAAAGACTGCAACTATATGCTTGTGAAGTGATTAAAACACTTGAAAGCATAGTAATAATATTACGATTTCCAGAAGGCCTCTAGTCTAGTCTATGCCCCTCTCACCAGGAGAGGGGAATGGCATAATGGTACCAAAGATGCATGAATGACACACAGGACAGAAAAGCAATGGATGTTCAAGAAAGATTATATCCTTGAGGATCTGAAGTTTTAAACAACTGGGAGTCAACCTTTAGCTCTCAAAGGTCGTAAGTGTTGGTGGCTGCAAAGTGCAGCCTGCATGGGGTAGCATGTAGCCTGAAACCTCCAGTGCTAATATTTTTGCATTTCCTTGCTATTGCCTCTGGCACGTCCTCCTCCACAAAGCTTATGTTTTGCTCTCTGCCCTGTTCCACCCTCCCACAGTTCAGAGTCAGAAGGAAGTAGTTCTCCCAAAGATTTCTACATTCAAAATGATGAGCTAGAAGCACCAGAGGAGGAAGAGAGGAAGCAGGAAACGGCTGCTGAAGAGAAAAGGCTGAATGAGAAGATGGCCACCTGCCTGAAGAAGTCTAGCATGGTGAGGGCTGTAGCTCAGCAGCAATGCAGGTTCAACCACCAGCATCTCCAGTTAGGGCTGGGAGACAGCTCTGTCTGAGACCCTTGGAGAGTCATAGTCAGTCAGCATAAGCAATACTGAGTTAGGTGTATCAGTGGTTTGACTTCGTGTAAGGTAGCTTTGCTCCCTGTGTCTCAGCAATCATTACCTACTAGGGCAGTGGGAAGCACCTTTTCTGGTGCAGCTGAGATAATTCATTTGGTTCACATTACAGAGATGTAGATTTTTACTCTGACTTGGTTGGCAGTCTAGATTTGTGGGAGTCTGCTCCACTGTTGAATTAACTCTGACTTTCAGAAAGCTCTTCATATTTAGTTGGAATATCCTTTCTTGTGACTTGAATCCATAGGTTTGGGTCCTGCCCTCTGCATCTGGAGAAAACAAGCCTGCCCCATCCTCCATGTGACAGTCCTTTAGATATTTAAGAATGGCTATCATATCACTTAAGGGACGTGGGTGGCGCTGTGGGTAAAATCTCAGTGCCTAGGACTTGCCTATCGTATGGTTCGAATTCCCACAACGGGGTGAGCTCCTGTCGTTCGGTCCCAGCTCCTGCCCACCTAGCAGTTCGAAAGCACTCATAAGTGCAAGTAGATAAATAGGGACCGCTTTCTAGCGGGAAGATAAACGGCGTTTCCGTGTGCTGCGCGGGTGCTGGCTCACCAGCTGCAGCTTCGTCACGGTGGCCACGTGACCCGGAAGTGTCCTCGGACGGCGCCGGCTCACGGCCTCTAGAGCGAGATGAGCACGCAACCCTAGAGTCGGACATGACTGGCCCGTATGGGCAGGGGTACCTTTACCTTTACTTTACCTTATCATATCACTTCTCAGTCTCCTCTTTTCTGGGCTAAACATACCCAGCTCCTTCAACTGCTCCTCATAAGGCTTTGGTGTCCAGACCACTGATCATCTTGGTTGCCCTTCTCTGGAGATGTTCCAGCTTGTCAACATCCTTAAACTGTAGCGCCCAGAACGGGACACATACTTGCTAAGCTGAATACAGCCTTCAAAAGACCAGGGCTGGCTATGATTCTTGGATGAAGCATGAGAAATTTAATAAATAAAATGCCTGGGCAGGCAGCACAGTACAACTGAGGCACCCGCCTATTATTAATATAATCCTGCCAGGCTTTGCTGCTTGGTCTGGTGGACAGGCAAGTGGCAATAGTGGAGAAGCTCCTCCATTTAGCCTGGAAAAAGAGAAGTTTCAGAGGAAACGAAACAGTGGTCCTCAAATATCAGAAAGCTGCCAAGTGGAAGCTGGAGCAGACTCACCCCCTATTGCTCCAGAGGGTTAGAACTAAGGTAAGGAAATGGCAAGGAAGCAGAATTCAGCTAAAAACTGAGTGAGTTTGGTGAGCACTGGGAGTAGATATTTAAACAGTGGATGCTCGGGTTGCGAACGTGATCTGTGCGGGATGCACATTCGCAACCCACAGCGGGGCGTCTGCGCATGTGCGGGTTGCAATTCGGCACTTCTGCACATGTGCAAAGCACGATTTAGTGCTTCTGTACATGCACGACCCCCGAAACCCATGGTACAGAGCTGGAAGTAACCCGTAGTACAGAGCTGGATTCCGAAGAGCAGCTGCTGGGTGACTCCAAGGTCCATTCCAACACTATGATTTAACTGTTGTGGACTCTTGCGCTTTTTGCAAAGCTGCAGAAGGCAGCCAGATCTACACTGACATTTCATGTAAAATGGTGCTGCATCTCTCTGGCAGGTAAACAAAGAGCTTAAGGCAGCGCGAGAGAACACGTCCCTGGAGTCTACCACTGTCCGCCTGGACCCTTGCCCTCACCTGCCTGAAAAGGAGCACTCAGAAGAACCTTACAAGTGGCGCAAGTTCAGCCAAGGCATTGGCCACTTTTAGCTCATATTACAACCATTGCATTTTTTTGCAGTCTCATCATAAAGAGGTAGACATGAACCAGGCTGGCTGAAGTTCCAATGCATTTACTTACTTAAAGACTACAGCCACCAGTTCTGGCAAGCACATGGTGGCGTTGTATTAATCACCAAAGTAGTGTGTCTTCCATTCCGTTCCGTTGATAGGATCCCAGTCCACAAGACTTCCGCCAGCTGCTGGTGCAAAGCTTACCATGGGGCTACTTCAATTCTACAATGAACACTTTTTCTCAGGTACAGCAGTAGTTATTGCACAGCTCCACATACCTATTCATGGAGGAATCGGGAGCAACTTAGCAGTTGTGGGACAATCTGTTTTTTCCCTCTCAGATAAATACGTGAACACTTAGCCCTGCCTTGTTCTGCATATATGGATTGCACACAGCAGCACTTTTTGTCTAGTGTGGTATCAGTTGAGCGAGCCCTCTTGAAAACAAAACTTATTCTGCCATTACCATGTTTAGTCTAGTCCAGGAGCTATCACGTTCACTGCAAGCACATACGAGTATTATTTTTTATGTAGCCAAGGCCATTACAAAAAAATATACTAACGCAGAATGGCTGTTTGTGCCCTGACAGTTGCAACTGTGTCTTGTAGCCCCTGTGCACTAAAGGTAAATCAATACCTTCTGAGTAGCTCAAGCCGTTTTGGAACAAAATAGGTCCTGCATGTAAGGGTCCCAGACACCCACACTGCTTGTCTGCAGATTATTGCAAAACAATAACTTTAAAAAGGGAAATTTACACAGGAGCCTTTAGCAAGACAAAAATATAGGTTTGGGCTGATTTACTGGTAAACACTCTTAACTGCTATGCCTATTCATAGACCTCCATCTTGAAAAGATGCAAATTGTCTATTCTTAATTTGAAATAAAAAACAATTGTGAAGGTCTCGTTTTAAGGAAGTTCTTAATATAAGATTTTAAAAACACGTAAGGTGTCGTTATAGGAGCTTCTGTCAATGGTTTTCCTCTTCCTCTGAATATACAGAAAAGGCTTGTCTGTACCACAAGCCTTTCGGAGAGAAACTTGCAGAGGCTTTTTGCCAGTTACTAAGTGGCAATAAATCGGGAGACTGAATGTATTCTGGTTTGGATCTAGGATTGCACAAGGAATCTTTCCCATCTCCTCCTGCCCCATGGTGTCTCTGAAAAGCCTTGCCAGAGAGTTGGAGCAGGGACCCACTAAAAAATATGTCTTGTATTGTAATGGGGCTTGATTTGGCAAGAGAGAATCACCCCAAATGGGAAGGTAGAGTATCTTGTCATCTGATAACACGCATTTACGTAATTCTAATGCACTATTCTTGCAGGATAGTGACGTAACGCACACAGAAGCTCAGCGACTTGGAACCATTTAGATTAGTAGTGCTAGCGTAGTGATGGGAAGCTTGTGGGCTGAATTAGCTCTGGCAAAGGCCCTGATTTAGGCCATGAGGCAGTTTTCCTCAAGCCACACCCACTTGCTCTACACCTTTTGCCATATACAGTGGTACCTCGGGATGCGAACGGGATCTGTTCCGGAGCCCTGTTCGCATCCCGAACAGAACATAAGGCGCGACAGCGCGTGTCACGTTTTACCGCTTCCGCGCATGATGTCATTTTGACCGTCTGCTCATGCGTGAGCGGTGAAACCCGGAAGTAACACGCTCTGTTACTTCTGGGTTGCCGTGGAGCACAACCCGAAAGCGCTCAACCTGAAGCGTATTTATCCCGAGGTATGACTGTACTGTATAACATCAGGTCAATATGTGACTCTGTTTCCTGGCATTGCCCAGCAGCTGAGTACCAGCAGCTTCGAAGCCCTGTGTAATTTCCCATGTGGCTTGATTTCAAGATGCATTGCCAAAGGAAAAACTGGTGCCATGGGGATGTCAGGTGACTGGCTGTTGGGCAGCTCCCACCCACCCAAGGATCCAGTCTGCCACCTGGTTAAGGTCTTCCCACCCCTAGTGCATTACACAACACTGCAAAACAGCTGTTTTATTTACCTGTGGGCTTCTCAGGCACTTTTGAGTGAAAATCCAGTTCCTGTGTACAAAAGGAGGCACCGGAAGACCATCTCTCCCCACAGCCCCATTGCCAACAGTGCCTGGTGTCACTTATATTGCCACCATCAGCACGTAATCACAATAAGGCAAATCAATCCTGTATGGATCAGTTCAGATGAGATGGATCTTGCTACAACATTTTAGCCTAGGACTGTGGCTTCTGGCACATTGATACAATCACAGTATGTCTTAAAAAATGGTACGAGAGGTAAGATTTTTAGATTCCAAAGAAAACTGATCAAATTGTGCTGTGTTAGGGAATCTAAAATTGTGATCATTGCCTCTTTTTCTTTTAAGAAAAAGTCTATATAAGGCAGTGTTATGAGAGCAGCCAAGATTCCCTTCCAATACATCACAGACTCTACTCCTTTGTTCTCAAGAGTCCACAGCACAAGGCTCAGGGCAAAGTATAAAGTGCTTTTTGGTTTCCTGGTTGGTCAAGTCAGCATTGCTGTTTGAGTCTATGCTCTGGAAGTCTCTTCCTTGATCCTAAAGCCAATCAGGATAATTGGTGAGGCAGTCTTTGTGCTGAGCCTTTAAAACTCCAAAATTGTCACCAGCAAAGTCTTTGCAGGCAAGTGACCAGAATCAAAGGAAGAAAGGGACCCGTGAAGTCACTGTTTTGCAGCCTGTGGCTGAGAACACTTTCAACTCTGCTGGAAAGTAAGGGATGCTGTCAGCAACTGCCTGGATGACATCTGGCTGTGGCTCTAGGTCTCGGCTGATGAGCTCACTGGCCACACACCGTTTCACATGGTGCTGCTTCAAAGGCAAGAAAGGCACGAGGAAGTCAATAAGGTGCTGATCGATTATCCCAGACTTCCAAAATCCATCTGCAGGAGAGAGAGATCAAGTTTCTAAGTAGGGAATTAAGTAGGGGAAAGGCCTGTACTCTTGAAGAGGCCAGTAGTGCACCACATATGTTTCAACTGGACCACTGAATCCCACCCCTGGGGGAGGAAAGATAAGATTTTTGCAAAATAAATCTCTGGCTGATAATGCTATTTCCTTCCAGGTAATATGGGCCACAGTGCCTTTGTGTGGCTCCTTCTTCCTCAGCAAGAGTTTTACTGCCCACATTTTGTGTGAAAAGCTCAATGTTCCCTTTGCTGTGGGCATGGTTCTCTCACCCAAGGCCACTGAATGTGGCAAAGGGTATTTCGCCCACAAAAGGGTTACCACTATAAAATGACAGTAGTTTTTAAAATGCCATGTGGGCAGGTGGTCAAGCACTTCTCTGCCTGTGTTTGCCTCCACAAATTCCTGGTGGGGCTTGGAGGTTACAAGTAAACTCAGTTTGTGGGGAAACAGGTATGTTGAGGGGAGAAGTGTGGGAGGAAGATTTTAGTACTTCTCTCCCTTTTCATATTGTTAAACTATGGAATTCACTCCCACAAAAATATAGTAATGGCCACCAACTTAGATGGCTTTAAAAGAGGGCAAGATGAATTCATAGAGGATAAGGCTATTGGCCCCTATGGCTACTGTTCTGCCTCTACTGTTTGAATATCAGTTACTGTGAATTATGTATGGGGAGAGTTGCACTAAGGTCCTGTTTGCGGACTTCCCACTGTGGCAGCTGGATGACCATGGCGAGAACAGAATGGCAGATCAGATGGGTCTCTGACCTGATCCAGCAGGGCTGTTCTTATGTTTCCTGTTTCTCAAATGATACTCACTTTGGGGGTTTTCAAAAGCAGCTTTGTAAACTGATGCTTCCAGATCCTTGAGGCTGATCTCCTCACGGTCTTTATGGGCCCGCCAGAAGTCCAAGGTAATTTGGTTTATCTGCTCCCCACCAGCATTGCTATCAGAGAACAAGACAGGATGCAAGAGAAAAGATGCCTTGTGAGAACACACACATCACTCATAAGGATGTGCTTCAGTGCTTTAAAAACAATACTGTATGGATCACCTGCTCCTATATCAGGTTTGGGGAACTGTGGCTCTCCAGATGTTGCTATCAATCTCAAGACAGCATGGCCAGTAGGGATGGAGGGAATTGTAGTCCAGCATATCCGGGGTGGGGACTCAGGTTCCCAGTCTTTGTCCCTACACCATCTTGCCACTTCCCCAAGATCAGGAGAGGCCTTTCTCTGCCCTGCCTAGGTTGGAAGCACACCTGGGTGGGTCAAGGGTCAGCCTTTTCAGTGGCTGCACCCAGGTCACGGAACATCTCGTCCCCTGTGAAGTCTGGTTGGCACCTCCCTTACTTTTCATTTTTGCTGGTTACTGAAGACATTTTTATAACGGCGGGCTTAATTGGATAGGTAAACAAAGTTTTCATGAAATTGATTTTTTTGTTATTTGTGCTAAGGTGCTCTGCAGAAGACAATAGAAATCTTCTAATAAATAAATATAAAATATGCACTTATCAGTCCCAGAGATTACAATTTTGAACCTGCTTACTGGAAAGTAAGCTCCACTGAACTCAAACAGACCTACTTCACAATGGGCAAGTATAGGATGATGCTGTTAGAGCTGGCTGTTTTCATTTAGAATCATATTTTAAAGAAAGCAAAATCAACTGAAGTTTATGCACAGACAATGGTGCTATCAGGGCAGGACTTTGGGACAGGCATCTGAGGTCAGGCCTAGCTGAATGAGCAGGAAAGCAGACAAAGACAACAGAGCTAGGTTTACCACATTTTGAAAACACTTAGCATCCATAGAAGGTGCTGTACACACTATGGGATCATTAAGTCAAATATTCTCTTACTGCACTACAGCTGGGGTCTTTTCCTTCATGACTTTCAGGCAGAAAATATAATTTGCGGATGGGAGAGGAGGAATTGGTTTCAGGTGGTAAGCAATTCCTTACTAGGTAATTTCCCACAAAGTCCTATATGGAAGGGCTGTATTTCAGTGGCAGAGCACCAGCCTTGCATGCAGACCAATCCTCAGCAAGAGCTGGGAAAGAACGCCTCACTGGAAACCTAGAAAGCTGCTGCCAGTCAGTGTACGCATTACTGAGTGAAATGGGTCAATGGCCTGGCTCAGTATAAGGCATGGGTAGGCAAACTAAGGCCCGTGGACTGGATCTGGCCCAATCGCTTCCTAAATGCGGCCCAGGAATCAGCATGTTTTTGCACGAGTAGAATGTGTCCTTTTATTTAAAATGCATCTCTGGGTTATTTGTGGGGCATAGGAATTCGTTCAATTACCCCCCCCCCCCAAAATACAGTCTGGCCCCCACAAGGTCTGAGGCACAGTGGACTGGCCCCCTGCTGGAAAAGTTTGCTGACCCCTGTATAAGGCAACCTCCTGCCTTTCATATCCGCTATTTAATCAGTGTCTACCTAATAAAAATGAAGATGGCTTTCCTGTAGTTTGTTCCAAACACAACCCAGGAAGGTCCCAAGAATGGGATAATCACATCGACCAAGCCTGGGTGCATCCTGTCCATATCGTCAAAGATAAACAGTGATCGGCCACATCGTGTCAGATTCCCCTGGATCCAGTTCTTCAGATCGTTCTGGGAGAAGATAGAGAAAAGAATACTCATCCAATACACAAACAACACGAGCATGTAAGGAAAAAAAGACCACTGCAAACTGCAAGGCCTTTTACACATACTTTTCAGAAAAGTTTACAGGTTGAAGGATGTTATTATTTGACTACCACAAGGCCCATAATTAACCAGGTAGTAGCAGTGCGGTGTTGTGGAAGGTCAGGAGATCCCAACACCCTTTGTCCCAACTGCACAGACCAGGCTGAGTATTTCTATAGACCCAAGTAGCAGAACGTGCAGCTTTCCAGATGGTGTTGGACTCCTAACCCGCTTCTATCCCTGACCATAGTCCATGCTGGCTGGGGCTGGTGATAATTGGAGGCCAACATCATCTGAAGAACCAGAGGATGCTGATCCCCAGTATAGAATATATGCATTTTTCGCTCTATAAGACGCACTTTTCCCTTCCTAAAAAGTAAGGGGAAATGTGTGTGCGTCTTATGCAGTGAATGCAGGCTGCGCAGTGTTCCCTCTTGCTCTCCTGGCTTCAGGGATAGCCGCCCGAAGCCTCCTGAGCGCAGCAGGAGCCTCCCACTGTGCTCAGGAGGCTTTGCGTTGCTTTTACTGAAACCAGGAGAGCAAGAGGGATTGGTGCGCACTGTGGTGGTGCCATGCATGTGGAAGTTTGGTTTCCCCCTCCCCAATGGCTTCTAAAATACCAATAAAAATTATTTCTCCAAGCCCTTGGCCAACTGTTGGAATGCAGAATTCATCTGCTCAGTGGCATTTATTGCATCTCTAATAATGGTGACCAGGTTTGCACATTACATTAAGTCACACACAGTGACCTGTTTGTTCACCCCCAATTGTCCTGTGCTGTCCTAAACCAAGGCTTGGCTACGTATAATGCCCAAACCAGGGCTTGCAGTTTAGTTCTCTCCAGAGTAACTATGAGCCATAAATTAAGCTTTGTCCTATGATACTGCTCACAGTTTGTTCAGGAGAGCTGAACCACAAGCCCTGGTTTGTATGGCACACTAAACCAAACCATGGCTTAGCTCAGTGCAGCACAACAGCAGAAAAATTACAGAATGAGCAAATTTGTTTGCTGCCTCCCCACCCCCAGGAGCCAACCCAAGAGTTTGCAGCAGGACACAGTTTGGTTTAGCACATGAATCAGGTCACAAAAGGTGACAAAGCAACAGATTAGGTCAGGCTACATTGAAGCCTCCAGACTACATGTGTCCTATTGCATTTTAAAACAGGGACCCGTGTGGCGAATTGCCGCAGAAAAACAAAGCCTGCAACTTGGTGCTGAAAGGCAGTTTCCTTACCTTGTACTGCTCGATGTGTTCTGCATGGGGGAAGTGAACTACTGGGGAGAAGTGGTGGACATATGGGCTTCGAAGCCCAGAGCGAAAGAGGTGGGGGACTAGCAGAGATCCAACGAAGGTTTTCCCCGTGCCGCTCGATCCGTGGAAGGACATCACCAGAGGCTTCTCAGGGCTGGGGTTGTGCACAAACCCCTTCAGGCCTTTCATGAGAAGCTCCCTTGCCAATTGCTGGCCGACCAGGTTCACGGCCAAGTTGCATTCTAGACCTGGGATGAATCAAGAGGCTTAGTGGGGGCGGGAATTCTTCCTTTTTGCACTGCTTTTAAAAAACGCGCACATCTCACCCCCCCCAAGAACCGCACCTGAGGGGTGGGGGGTAATATGGGGATACATATTGTTGGGGGCTCCAACCCGCAACCATTCCTGACCCTGCCCTCACAACAACCCTTGGAGGAAGTCGCATATGATACAGGATTAGGAGTGGCGAAGTGGATGTAAACACAGTAGATGGATAATATAAGGATTTATACAATTTTACAGTATGCAGAGAATAATATGTGTTGAAAAATCAGAGAGAGGAGCTGAGGGAAGTCCGGGAGGGGGGGAGGGCCTGATGGGGAGGTGCGGTGGAAAGGCGGGGGGGGAATAATGAATATGATATGTTTTGAGATTTCGATATGTTAAAATTGTTAATTAATTTTTTTTTAAAAAAAGGAGTGGCGCAGTGGGGACTAGAACTTCTGCCACCCCGGCGACGCTCCCAGGTGAGAGTTTCGAACCATTGAGGTGCACGTGCTCGCGCCTGCGCACTCTGCCTCTCTCCAGCCCCTTCCCCCCCCTCTTCTCCCCTCTCACCTGCCAGGTCGGGCCGGAAGTCGCACTCGCAAGTGCCCGAGAAGCTGCAGTGCCAGGAGCTCAGATCCAAGGGGCCGCTCGAGCTCACCAACCCCAGCGGAGGGTAGAGGTGGAAGACGACCTGCAAGAAGGGCAGCAACAAGCGCCCCCCTTCCCAATCCATTGCGCCTGCCGAGAGTCGCGTGCCTGCCGCTGCCGCCGCCGCCGCCGATCTGGCTCCCAGCCTGCCTCGGGGCCCGAGTGGGAGGGCGGGGCGCAGCTTCGTAACTGGGCAAAAGTTCGCTTCTGACGCTGCGGGAGGGGTGGGGCCTGGCGGGGCGGGCGGGGCTTGGGTGGCTGTTGGTTAGGATGGGAGAGCTTACCTCAAGGCAGGGTTTAGGCGGGAAAGGTGCTGAGGGGGGAAACGGCGCTTTATTGACGGGTGGGGATTTTTGGGATAATTTTTAATTTTTAAACCTAGAATGCCGGTAAGGGATACGTATGGGAATAATGAAAGAAAAAAATGTATGAAGTGGGAAGTGTAATTGGAAAACTATATACAGATACGTAGCCGTGTTGGTCTGCCATAGTCAAAACAAAAAAAATTCCTTCCAGTAGCACCTTAAAGACCAAATAAGTTAGTTCTTGGTATGAGCTTTCGTGTGCATGCACACTTCTTCAGATACCCTATAAAACTCTATAAATATTTTTTTAAAAGAATAAAAAAGGAAACAGTGCCTCATACAAAAGGCCTTATGCAAAGTCAGACCATTGCTCCTCAGACTGGTTTTGTCGTTTAGTCGTGTCCGAAACTTCATGACCCCATGGACCAGAACACGCCAGGCCCTCCTGTCTTCCACTGCCTCCTGCAGTTTGGTCAGACTCATGTTTGTAGCTTCGAGAACACTGTCCCACCATCTTGTCCTCTGTCGCCCCCTTCTCCTTGTGCCCTCCATCTTTCCCAGCATCAGTGTCTTCTCCAGGGAGGCTTCTCTTCTCATGAGGTGGCCAAAGTACTGGAGCCTCAGCTTCACGATCTGTCCTTCCAGTGAGCACTCAGGGCTGATTTCCTTCAGAATGGAGAGGTTTGATCTTCTTGCAGTCCATGGGACTCTCAAGAGTCTCCTCCAGCACCATAATTCAAAAGCATCAATTCTTCGGCGATCAGCCTTCTCTATGGTCCAGCTCTCACTTCCATACTCTTGCTTTAGGTATGTCCAAATGCGTGTTACTTATGGGAGAGTTGTGGTAAGAACAGGCTTCTGCTTCCCAGCTTTCACTTCCATACATCACTACTGGGAAAACCATAGCTTTTACTATATGGACCTTTGTTGGCAAGGTGTGGTTTTCAAAGGTTTTTAAGCAGGATTTTTTCCCCTTTGTCCTCTGTGGGGTGGCAGGGATCCTTCTGTGCACTGTGCCTTTCATTGTCCCCTTGGTGTCTTCTGAGGTTGGCAGCTGCTGTCCTTGCTCCTCTGGGCCAGAATTGGTGTCCCACGTGTGGCAGCAATTTGCAGCTCAGGACTGTCCTGCTCCTGAGACTCCCCTTCCTCCCCTGTGTGATCTTTCTCCTCCCCAGGGGCATAGCTGTCAAGTTTCAGATTTGAAAATAAGGGATCAGCAGCCTCACCTGTCCCGGGGACGGTCTACGGGATATCTAACAATCCGGGATAGCAGCGGGAAATGGCGCTGGAATAACCCGCAAAAAATGGGAAGGTTGACAGCTATGCCCAGGGGCTCCCCACCTGTCTGTGTTGCCGTTCCTCCACAGTCCGCTCAGCTTCACTGAGAAGCTCCATCTTTGCTTGGAGCTGCTCTCCATTCTCTGCGCTTGCTACAGATGTACTTTTGCATGTTCTGCAGCAAAAAGACAAACATGGCACAGGTGTTGCAGATCAGCTCCTGTAGTCTGTTTCTTGCTATCATGTCAAAAGCAGATTTGAAGTTTATAAAAGCTGTGTAAAGTGCCCCACCATCAGGAGAATATTTTTCTGATGCTGTAAAACCAATCCCTGGTCAATGGATGAGCAGCCAGACCTAAAACATGCTCTTCCTCCAGGAAATTTTCTTCCTCCATCTAACTAGAAAGTTTCCCAAAAGATGGCTAGCATACAATTTACTGATGATACTTAAGAGACTGATTGGTCTAGAATTCCCTTTTTTGTAAATTGGGATAATGATCGCAAGTCCCCAGTCTGGTGGAGCACATGTAGTATGATCAATACATGTGAACAGGACAGCAAAAACTGGTGCCCACCACTCCAAGTTTGACTAGTAATTTGAGGGGTGGGTGCAGCTATGTAATTACTACCTGGGGGCTTTGCCCAATTTAAGTCCAGAGGTGAACCTGCCAATTTCAGATAATGAAACAGGGCCACAGTACGCTCCCAGAAACGTGAAAGTGGTTGACGCCTTTTGGCAAAAAGCTTTTAATCTGACCTCCAAAATTGCCAACAATATATCCTTCCTGATTTGGCACTTGCTTTCTTATCCCTAGATTTGACCCCAAACTCCACCCTTAAATCTAAAGAATTAATTTCCTTCCTGTTCACAACAGTTATTGCCCAGCGATGGAAGGAAACCTCTAATATACCAACTGAGGTTGGGCAATAATATCTGGAACATTGCTCTATCAGGCATGTACAACACATCCATCACAAGCCCCCAGTTGACCGCGGGGTTGTTTCTCAGGGTCTTTCTCTGCAACCTTGAGATCCACATCAGCTGCAAGGCTCCATTTGATTGGGGGGGGGGAGAGAGATCATACACTGGTTTGGGGGTGGGGGGAGGAGAGGGACAGCTGTGATCATAGATCGCAGGCTACTTGGAGTTGGACATGCCTGGACTACAGCATTACACTGCACAGCATTAGCCTTCATACGAGTAAAACTAAACTGGAGATAAAAAAGATAAGCTTCCAAACAGTTACTCATCTTCACGTTACCTGCACCCCTCTCTATGTCTATTGTACAAGAATGCAGAATGTATCATAGCCTAAGAAGAAATCACAAGGTCTGCAAGAGAGGCTACACACTGGGCTGCCTTCCCCTCCTTTCTCACCTGTCTATAAAGGCTGGCTGGCTGGCTCCCTCCCTGACCTGTGCTCTGGTATCCAGGCAGAGGGGTGGATGCTGGTCAGCAGAACAGGCTCTGTGACCTCAGTGAGTAGCTAAGGGAGGCATTGTGAGCTCCTCATTCAGGGGCTGTTTGAAAGGCCAGGCTGGCACCCTACAAGCTAGCGATGGTGTCCAGGCAGAGAGAGGCTGGTCAGCAGGACAGCCTTTGGTGGGGACAGCCTATGCAATTTTACTGAATGAGACTCTTCTAAGGCCAGGCTGCTGCTGCTGCTGCTGCACCACCAGCACCAGGTAGAGATGCAGGCCCCTGAATGAGTGTCTCTAAGACTTGCCTGCCTGCAAGTTAGGCCCCCACTTGCAGCGAGTGTACCCTGATGCTCTGGTGTCAGTCTGCAGCGGAGAGGTGGGAACTGCTGTTGCTGCCTCTTGCCCTGGCTTAAAGCTTAAAAGTTAGAATATCCATTAGAGGCAGTGCTCAAGGTGAACTCTGCTTCTCCAGCTCCTCCTTTGCAGATGAGGGAATGGTGAGGGGGGGTGCCCACCCATGTGGATGCGAGCCAGATGGTCCTGCTAACAGCTGGGGTAATCCACATGGGTGAGCAGGGAGAGGGGTGCCAGCCTCTGCCCAAATTGGGCTGCTGGCTTTAGCTGGGGAGGGGGCATCAGCCGAAAGAAGTTTTGGAGTGTTTTTTAGGCCTTTCCTCCAGGGTTATTTTGTTCCCTCGGATGCCTCAGATGCCCCCTTTCTCTGCTTTTGGTGCTTCCTTTTGGGGCTTTTGTATTTTTTTCTTAGGGGGTTCTCTTTTTGGGGGTTAGGTATGCTTATCCCTTTTATGGCCAGGTCTCCCCTATCTTGCTTCCCACGGGTGGGTGGAATTTCTGGATTCCTTTAGGGATAGGTTCCAGGGTCTTCATCCATCTCAGGCATTCACCCAAGTCTGGAAGAAAAGAAATGGAGGTACAATCATTGTTTTCAATGCAACTAGTTTGTCTATAATGGAGAGTCTTCATTTATTCCAATGTTTTATATCCATATTTAGAGCTTTCCAAACTGTACTATAATTAAACTGATACAACTTGTTTGTTCAAGTTTTGGGTAATTTGCACCCCCAGATATCTAAAACTTTTCCTAGCTATTGGAATCTTCAACATTGCTGTAAAAGTCTACTGCATGTGAATGGGGTGGTGTATGAAAAAGCATTACCTCTGCTTTCTTAAAAGTATCTTGCAATCCTGAGACCCTGGAGAACTGTTCCTACTCTGTACATAGATTTTGCCTGCTGTGATAGGGTCAGTGGTGCATAAAATTATATCCTCTGCAAAGAGGCCTGAATTTTGTTCATTTCTGTTTGCAACCACTCCTGTACGAGTAGGCCCCAGGGTGGTTTGGGGTTCTACCTTCTGGAGGACCAGAAGCATTTCCTTGTTTGTGGCTAATAGCATAGGGACAGAGCTCCCAATCTGGACAGAGGGGTTCCTCTGTTCCTGTGGAATGGGGGCTAAGGTTCCACGATGGTAGAGGCCCACTCTGGCTAAAGATTTAGGCACCGGCTAAATCTTATACCTGTTAAGCTCACCTGTTTCTACAATTCGGTGAGATACAACAGCAACAAAAATCATCATTCCTCTAAGAACAATTACTGTCTCAGGCTCTCAAACAAGAGCAGAATCTAACCAAACAGCTTTTGGTTCTGGATCAATGTGGATCCTTTATGGATATTTACTTATTTATCTACTGTTTTTCCTCCCAAGCTGATGTTTTGTGTTGTTGTTCCCTGGAAACTCTTGGTTCGTAAGCTGCTTTGGACAAACGCAATGTAGTACCAAAAATAAATATGTGATCTTGAAAGAGCCTCAGACTTTATCTGAGGCACATCTACTGAAAGATACATTCAAGACTAAGTCCCACTGAAGGCCATTGAATGGGCCTTAGTCATTGCTTATCTAAACCCCATGGGGGGTACTGGGACCTTGACTAATGTGTGGAGGGTGCCCAGTGGCTTTTTAAGGGAATTTGCTCTTCTCCGTAAGTTATTCAAAGATTTCATCCATTCCCCGGCTATAAATCCTTACCTTCTCAGCTGGCTTCTCTGTCTGCTTCATGGGACAATGAAGCAGAACAGGTGAACATCTAGATGGCACAATTTCCTACCTGCCATGTTGATAGGAATGCTGA